CAAATCACATCCCATAGGCAAAGCTGTGAAGACTCCATCTGGCCCAGTTGTTGGAGTTTCTCATTCTTCCCACCATCCCTTCAGGAGAGCAGGGAAAGAACTGGTTTCTGCAGATCCGGAGGCTCATGTGTGTTTTGGGAAGAGATGGGAATTTTCACTGAACATGTACAAAGCAGGGCTGAACACCACAAGTAAAGGCATGAGGGAGTGTGGTGCCTTCTAGGAATACACCCTGTGCCCCTCGTCACCTCCCATGTCATTGTCACACCTGCAGAAGCCCCTTCTCTCCTGAGGCCTGTGCTACCTGCTCGGGTCATCTTTCCTTCCCTCCAGATGTTCTTCTACTTGTCTCAGTAGCTTTATTATCTATCTCCTACTTTACCATACGTTGAGCCCTGTTCCCTGCAGTCACTTTCAGGAACATTCCTTTGTATGACTCTTTCATCACCCAGACAAGGAAATGCTGTTTTGTTTTGTTTTTTTAATCCTTGCCTCCAGTGACCACCATCTCCACACCACTCCATACCTATGGCCAGGCAGCATCCTCTAACTCTTGTCAATGTCCTCTAGCCAGAGGCCACCAGGGACACACCTGTAGTTGGACAAGCTGGGTTTGTTGCCTGTTGCTGAGGGGGAGACCTCACACTATGGGGAGCCATGGGGCAGCTCAGAATGAGAGGGTGCCAGGAGAAAGGACCGATAGGACTTGGGTTTGTGTCCAGTGATTTGGGGGTGGGTTTACAGAAGCAGGGCTTTGCTGCCAGGAAATGGGGTAACTCCAACTGGATATCTTGAGTCTTACCTACAGGGAAGACAGACTAGAGCAAAACTGAAGTGGTAATTGGGAAAGAAGCAGCAGTTGCTCGTTATCTGGGCTTTTGGGTATTTTCTGGCTTGGCCAATGTGCGTGCTTTGTCTGTGTTCAGGTGTGATTACTGTGTGGCCATGTGTTTATCTTGTTCCATCACAGTCACAGATTGGCCTTGTCTGATGTCAATTTTCCGCACAGTCACTGATGCTCACAGGAGAAGCCCCAGCCTAGCTGTGAGTGCCAGGCCAGCTCCTGAATATCGGGGCTGCTCTTGTCTTTCTCAGTCTTCACCACTCTGAACTGCTCCACTTCACGTATTTGCCTCCTTGATCAAAGCTTCCACCTGCTTCCTCGTCCACCCCCTGCCTGCTCCCTTAGCTCCTGTGGGGACTTAGCCTCAGCCGTTCCGTGTTTTCCCAGTTTATCAATGCCTTTCTTGGCTCACTGCTCTCCCTAGCCAGGCAGAAACTATGTGGTGATGAGCTGCGTTCATGGTATGCTGATAACCACCCAGAAGCCCTGCCCTTGTCACCTCCTGTTGTTTCCTTTGCCAGCCCCTTCCTCTGGGTGGGCCCCATCATTCACTGTTCCCCTCTAAGATTTGTGAGCCCTTCAGCAGAAAGGCATATAACCATCAACATGTGTTTCTACCCTCAGCAGTCCACAAAGCTGCCTAGCAATGCTCTTTTTCATAACTTGTTTATCCCCTCTTATATCCCTGGAAGTCATGTGTCCACCAACTTCACCCTGAACCCTCTCCTTCCAGAAGGTATTCTCAATTCCCCCTCTACTAAGAAGATAGAAGCCACCTCATGCTCTACTGTGGCTTCCTTATTTTCCATACTTTATTTTTTTTCTAAGTCTCCACCCATCCTCCTTCCCTTGAACCTCTCTGAGGGAAAGAAATATTCATCCTTTCTTAGCCTGCCCCCTCCACTGTGTTCCTGATCTTGTCCCCTCTTCTCAGCATCTGCCTTCCCCAGCCCCACAGCCTCTGTAGTGTGGCCCTTTCCTTTCACAATGCAGTTCCAGGAAGTGAGCTTCTCTTTGGACTCCCTCCTCATTCAGTTGCACCTTAGCCCTTCTCTTCTCACTCCCGGACCAAAGTGATCTCGTCATCGATTTTTCTTAGACGTAGTCTTTGTAAACTGTACAGCATCAGACCAGCGTTTCCTTGAATCTCTTGAGACCATGCTCTCCAGATTCTCCTGGCTCATCTTGGTTTTACTTCTGCATCATCTCAAGACTCTGACCCTCTTCCTATTCCCCAGCTTTCTGTGGGTTTTTTCCTTCCCCTATTCCCATCTTTATAGTTCCCTTTCTCTCCTATTCCCTCTTAACAATCTCAACCACTCCCAGAACTTGGATAATTCACAAATTTGTCTCTGCCCTTGACCTCTGTTGGAAGCCTAGTTCATTATTTCTAACTGCCTGCTAAGTATCTATAGCATGATATATTATTGGTACTAAAACATCACTTGTCTGAAACTAGATTCATTAGTCTCACCAGAACCAGAGTCTCTGTATAGTTTTTGTCCCATTTCATGGCATTCCCATTCTCTGTCACTTACAGCTGTCTTGACTATCAAATCCCATGCGTTCTACCTTTGCATTGTCTCTCACATTTGACCTCATCTTAGGGTGCTTGCCAAGTTATAGTTACGTTGTTAGGGAGCCTATTAACTTGTTAGTTAGGGGCAAGGGACTTGTCTTACTCATCTCTGCTTGTTCCTCTGTATCCAGCACAGTGCCATACCCATAAGACACCACTGTTTGTTGAGTGAATGACTATAAATTAAGCATTTTAATGCTTTACTTGCCCTTCATGAACTATTTGTGATTGAACAGTTTTCCATCATTAGACCTCTAAATACTTTTATTCTTCAAGCAAGCACCAGAACAAAGTTTCCTACTCAGAACCTCAACCATGGTACTTCTGCTCTTTTTCAGGAAGAGCAATTAGGTAAGCATGCATGGGTCATGAGGCATTCATATTCCCTTCCTTTTTGAAAGCCAGATAGGATACCTAGGATTATTATGTTTTCATGGCAATTTTAGATAACTTACATCTCCCTTTATACATTGATTTTTCTGCTTTCTCTTTTCTTTATTTTTTAACAGGTTTTCAAAATGGAAACTATCACTATGACATAAGATGCTATTGATAGTACATCAATATGATTCAGCTGTTTCCCTGCCCAGCAGAGTGTGGCTGCTCTCTGCATAGCCCTGTAATACATATTAGTTACACAGACGTTAGCGAAGCCCTTCCCATCCATATGTATGTGCGTGGCCCTTGGCAGTTAATAATGCCATATATCACGTGCATGTAGAATGTAAAATGTACTTCACAATGACAGCAGGCTCATAGAAAATGAATATTGGCTTATGATGAGAGGAAAACCAGGGAAAGATTTTTGTCCTTTCAAATCCACTGTTGAGTGAATTATTTGTTTCTGTGTCTCAGTATCCCAAACCCACATTCTGCCTTTTTTTTTTTTTTTTGGGTCACTATATGCCCCTCTCTCCAGCCACCTTATTTCACTTCAACTACATGGATAACAACAGAACCCCTTTGGAGAAATGAAAGATAGCAATTACACATTGGTATTCATGTTACAGGAGTCACGCTGCCATCCTCAGGGAGTTGAACAATGAATATCCAACATTAATTGCCACAGTAACTGAGCTTCTGACCTTGCTGAAATGTAATACACCCATTTTACATAGTAAAATTATTTGCCACTAAAAGATTTTTTAAATTATCATAAAATTATATTGCTGTTTAGAGTTACCAATAATTTTTATATTTGTCTCTACATTTTCTTGGGAATCAGGACATCAGCAGTTGCAATCATAATTTTATCACCGATTTGGCTGACAATTATGGCAAGATTAGTGCCTTTGTATTCTTAGGAAGGGTGAATAAAATGCATTGCCATCCCTGGTAGATCTATAGAACTGATTAATAAGGTACAGTGGACATAGTACATTTTACCCATTGGGGAGAAAAATATTTTTTTTTTTTTTTCTTTAATGCTTGCTCCTAATTATGGGTTGGATTTTCTGCCAGTGGCAGAAACATGCTAGGAACTCTAGGGCATGTTTCCCTTTTGAAAGAAGTGATATCATTTTTCAGGTGAAGCCTACCGACTATCAACTTTTCTTGCTTTCATCTTTTGCTCAAATCCTCAGAAATACAGAAGCTAGCTTTTCTTACGTGGATTTTACAGTTCTTTTTTCCTGGGCTACCTCACCCTTCCCGGGTGTCACACACTGGGAGAATTTCACACTATATATATACTCTGGAAGTGTTCATCACTCAGGGCCGGCCTCCACACTGCTGGGTCAGCATTGAGCCAGACTCGGACAGAGCCTAGTCAGCGGGCCACGGTGGCTCTGGGCTGTGGAAGCTGTGTGTGCAGAAATGAGTGATTGTTCAGCCTTCTCTCCTTTTTAAAAGGGACTGAGGTGAAGAAAGTCAGTGCACTCACCCGTGACATGCGAATTTCAGCCTAGATGAGATTCTAACTAGAGATCCATTTTTGCTTGTATTCCAGCAAAACTAGCACAGGATAAATTTGAAGGCCATCTTACGTCTGGGGGGAAGAAATGAACCGAGTGATAGAATGGGTAGTTTTTTGCCCACCTTTTAAAGTAGAGCTGTGAGGTAAATGAGTATGTGTCTACCCTAACTACTTAATATAGCTTGCTCATTGTTTTAGTGTTTAAGTCGTTTATGACTTTCCAGTTTTAAGCATTGATAAGATAAAAGAGAATACATATGCAATTAGTATGTTGTGTCTTTTGAAACTTTGAACTTCGGATTTCTTACTTCAGATCATTCAGGTAGTTTTAAAAGCGAGCTCTCTGAATCCTAGCCCCACTTTATTTATATTCTCCCATTTCCTTTACAGTACTTATGTCTCCCTAATACTTGTCTGTGTCTGTAGAATTTGAGCCCGGACACTCGACCATTAGGGGGAGATTCTTGCCCGGACTCCTCATTTTTTTCAGGATCTTTAAAGAAATCCTGGTGGAAAGCAACTTGAGAAAACGCAGCTTCAGTTTAGCCCCTGCTTGGGGGTTGGGGTTTGTTTGTTTTTGTTTTTGTTTGCAGGTTTGTTTAATTTCCTCTCCCCTTTTCGTCCCATCCATCACGGCCCTCCCCTCCGCCCGCCGAAAGCAGGATGATGAGGTGAGGACAGTTCAGGTGAAGGAGCAAGAGCACAATGTCCTGGTGCTGAAGAGGGTGCAGTGCTGTGGGCCGGCCCCCCCGGCCGGCACCGCCGACAGTGATTGGAGGTGAGTTCGCACGGAGGCTCGCGCTCCTCTTTCCTCGGCCCTGCCTGCCTCCCCTTCTCTCGCTCCATCTCACTCGCTCCCGCTGCCTCCCGTCCCTCCCTCCCCCTCTTCTCCCCGCCTCTCGCCTCTCGCGCGTCCTAGCTGCCTGCAGAGCTCTTGGCAGCCAGATGGACTCAGTTCCCGGCGAAAGGACAGAGATGGCAAGATCTTTTAGCTCTTAGGGGATGCCTTTGTTAGTGGCCGTTCACAATGGGCAGCTCCCGGCTGAGGGTCTTTGACCCTCAGCTAGAGAGGAAGGAGTCCGCAACGCTCTCCGACCGAGAGCTGCCCTTGCCTACCTTCGATGTGCCTTATTTCAAGTACATTGATGAGGAGGATGAGGACGATGAATGGAGCAGCCGCTCGCAGTCTTCCACCGAGGATGACTCGGTGGACTCTCTGCTCTCTGACAGATACGTGGTCGTGTCCGGGACCCCCGAGAAGATTTTGGAGCACCTTTTGAATGACTTGCACCTGGAAGAAGTCCAGGACAAAGAAACAGGTAAGGCACGGGGGGCGGGGGGGCGGGGGGTGTCTCCAGCTTCCAGACCCACAGCTGCGCCTGCCCTTGTCAGCAGGGGCAAGACTCCCGCTGTAGCCGAAACCAGCATGGGCAGAAACAGCATCTGCTTTGTGCGCCTACCCCCTTGGCCTCGTGCTGTTTTGTTTCAATCCAGTAAATGGACACATGTAGATCCAAGCAGCTGCCTGGGAAGTCGCTGTACAAAGAAAACGATGGGAAGGCAGATGTTCTTGTGTCTGGCAATTTTTACGAAATCTCACCTAAAGGCAGTTGGCAAGAGGCTAGCATTTTAATAGCCAGTGTTCATTGGGAAGAAATACAAGGGACGAGCATTCACCTGGCCTGTGGGAAGCACTGAGCTGAGGGGAGTAGCCTCCCTGCGGAAATGCCAACAATTAATGCAACTACTCAGCGACTGGAAGCTCAGCAGCAACTTCTGCCTTTTTCCAGGTGGTTTACAAACTGCTCAGAGCAAGCCTTGCTGTGCAGAATATCCTACTCATAGCTTTGCAGACTAGAAACTGTAACTCACTGAAGTCTTAGTGATCAGACTTCTTGTCCTTTCTATCTAATCTGGGAGCAAAATACCCATTTAGCTTTGTCACCCTTGCACTTTGGGAAACAGTACCATTGCATGTACAAAACAACCTAACCATGCTTCCTTTATCACCAAAGGGCGAGTACTTACTTCTCTTCACCAGAATTCGTAATTTGTTCCAGCGTGGAACAATTATTGCAATGAATAGGCCTCTGGCTGTAGCCTGGATTCTGTAACTTGATCTCCTGACTAAAAGGCACTGTTTGCTGTTATCAGAGCACCTGTGTTTGTAGGTTGAATTCCTGCAGAGTAACACCTTAGGGTTTTCCCCTCATTGGAAAGATTGTGAAATGACTGTGTAGGTGGGAACAAGTTTCCTTGGGTCCCAGTAGTTTTTTGTCTGAACCTAATTGATGTCTGATTCTAAAAAGCATTATGAAGGACGTGAAGAGAAACAAAGTTGTGTGAAAAATGTAAATGGGTTAAAAAAAAGAAAAGGAAAATGACCCAATCCTGTATCCTACAGTAATGTTATACTTTGATCTCAGAAATCAAATAGATACTTTATTTTGCGTATGTTTGGGGTGGTGGAAACCAGTGGCTGTCATTTATACATAGGCTAAAAGAAAAACATTCTCATGGCATTTGCTGGGTTGTTTTTGTATGTCTATTGGTTAATATTTTGTGCATTTGAGCACTGTTCCCATGTTCTGCTTCATCAGATATAATCATCATGGAACCGGGAATAATTTTCCACGTACTGATTACCAGACTGCTCTACACAGGTGGTTTGGACTAGATTACAGGCAAATAATCTGCCGCAAAGAGGAGACCTTTCAATGTGGATAGATGTTTCAGGGGTTTGAATGCTTGCTTCTTCTTAACAGCACCACAGTTCTGGTCTGTAATGTCAAACTCTGTGTCTAGGTCATGTGAGTGGGTGTAAAAATTATTAACGCCAGTATTAGGCCTAACTTGATTTCTTTTTTCTTTCTAATTATCAGTGGTTTTTTGAGAAAGATGGCCTAGGTGCCCATAACACGTTCCCACTGTCCACACTGGGAATGAGAAATCTCCCAGATTACTTTACTAAGTATGCCCGGAGTTGCCTGCTGCTGGAAACGGTGTCGTGCATGGTGTCTAGTGACTGTTACACCACGCCTGGGATCAGATGTGTCACTCTAGCCCCATGCTCAGCAAAGCAAAGAGGACCAGAGCTCAGTGGTTTGCCCTCGGCAAAGCAGGAAGAGGCCTCTGGGGGTCAGCCTCTCGTCGTTCCTACTCATTTCCTCAGAGTTTTCAGAGGACGCATGATACTTCAGATTTTTGTAGTGATACTTGAAAGAAAGCATGGTAGCAACTTTTCCTGTGATTAACAGAGAACTTTATGAAAATGAAAAGTCAAACTTAGAGATTGGTGTGTATGCAATAGGGAGGCCTAAGTGAAGTCCCATGCGGTTCTTCAAAACGTCACATTCCAGCACTTGGAGAAAATACAACAGAAAAGCCACCATGTGGTTTTTTGTTGCTACAATGAAAAGAAATATATATGTAAAAATAAAATAAATTCCATGGGCAACTTGAAGAAAAGAGGTGATTAGTTTGTTCTAGCTTGAATACTAAATGAATCACATATTTAAAGGAATTGAGGCCCCTTGTTACCAACAGAGGTGAATTTGCGTTCTTTATTTTGGTCAGGCTGGCAACCCTCATTATAAAAGGCCTATGTGAGCAAGAGCCTAATAGCATCGTATAAACATATGGAAGACAGATGGAGGAAAATGAGAAGGGGCTGCAATAAAAGTATACAGCAGCGTTTTTATGTTCTCGAGCACCCCTTTTAGAGAGAGAGCCATCTGGGGCCGGCTGGAGCCATCTGGTGGTCGTCCACATGGCCCCGATGGCAGTGAGGAGGTAAGGGTACATGGGAGGACGTAAGTGCTCCCATAGACCAGGATGAGCCTGTTCTGGATTGTTACATTCCTGTGCCCACCAGAGGCTGGGGGAAATAATGGTGCCAGAGATGTGAGTCACTTCCCATCTCTTTCCCACAAAAGTCACTTAGTTGTGAAAATGGAAGTACAAGGCCCGATAGAAGAGACCTTCTGCACTCACAGAGGAGCAGTTGAAGTGATTACTAATTGATACAGACGTGCAAGTGGAAAAAACGTTGACTTAATTGAATGCAATAGGAAGGAGAATGCCAGAGCTATTGACATGATGTAATCCTGTTGCTACCTGAATCGAGAAAACAACAATTCACATGGTAGTCTATCACCAAGTCAAACTGGGTTTTAAAAGCAATAATATTAGAGATGCTTAAAAGCAGCCTACTAATGATTTTCCCAAGTGATTAGATTCACACAACAAATGCCCCGTGTGTTTCCATCGTCCCCTGTATGCCTACCTTTCCTCCCTTGTAGGACCAGGCTCAAGGAGTCTTTCCAGGAACAGCTGTAGAATGAATGCATGAATGAATGCATGCATGCATGAATGAATGAATGAATGAGTGATTCTTCATTGTTCCAAATGAAAAAGCTATTTGAGTCTGGCCACTGGATACCTATTTATGAACATGGAAAGTGATTGAAGCAGCTTTCAAAGATGACCTTTTCTGTCAAGGTTCAGATCCTGGCTTATACCTTTGGAATGGTAGAGAAAAATCAAGCAGCTCTTTCATCTTCCCAGTATAGGGGAGACATCGCTGAGCACTCCCAGCCCAGGAGAATTACAAAGCAGGCAAGGAGAAAGAAAAACAAGGAGTTGTGAGTAGAGGAGCTAGAGGGAAGGAAGAGCAAGCTCCCCCCAGCCAGCCCTGGTCTGCGGGGTCTGTAGGGGTTCATCCTCCTATTTAACTCTTCCCACTCCCTGGAAAGGATAGAGTATGTTTTGTTTAGGGCTGCTATTGTTGGGAATAATGACTTCTGGTTCAAAGCAGGAGGAAAATTATGTATTGGATGGATTACATAGAGAAAAACCTTCTTATTGATTTTTCTCCCTGAATCTGCATTATGACAGGTCCACCTTAGGGAGAACACAAGAGGAAACACATTTGCTGGCCTCTTTTTTTTTTTCCCCCATTTTCTTATTCTTCATTCATCCTTTTGAAGCAAATGTGCTTAAGGTTATGTGTTTTTAAGAAAAACAAGCGAGCAGAGAATAGGATAGTAGGAACAGGTAAAGCCAACCAGCTCATGCTTATTAAGCTTGACCTGCTTTCTTCGAGGTGTGGCTGGTTTGGTAACTCAGGAGGCTGTCATTCAGCATACCCTGTGGAGGGTACTCAGGGTGGAAGCGCCTCTTTGGTCACGTGTTACTGGTCGGCTTCCAGCAGCACTGCGTAGTGCGAGCAGATCATTGAGAAACTGAGTCGTTTTCCTTTGTAAGGAGGCAAAAACCTCCATGAAAGTGCCTGTCTTAGATCATAGGGGTGTCTCCATCGATAGAGTCCAGAGGCTAATCTCCATTGCCAGCTTGCTGGTGGCCTTTTTAGAGCAGTGCTCTAACGGAACCTTGAGGAAAGGAGGACAGGCACCGATTTTTCTGAACTTCTCTGTCCTCTTCCCGGCCAGCACCAAGCCTGTCCTAAGTGCTCGATGCGTGTTTCTTGTGAAGAAAAATTAAGAAGGCTTTTTTCCTGGTCATTGGAAAGATAGAAGGCAACTTAGATGATCTTCCTCCTTGATCTCCTTACCTCTTAGGATTTCTGGAAAGATGTTTGGCGTTTCTGTTCCAGGCTTCCTCTTGCAGGTGGCAAAGACCTCGATGACCGTGTAGCAGCATAGCTTGTGCAGGACCAAACATCGTTGAGGCTAGACACAGAAAATTTTTAGATGGTGGTAAATCTCTCCATGATTTTGCACAATTAAGATGCACCTAAAGTTATCTTGTATTTATCTTTTGTTTTTATTTTTGTAATGTCACGTAACAAATAGACCAGTGGATCTTATGTATGGCTGCACATTAGGGGCGCATGGGGCACTTTTTAAAAATTCCAATACCTGGGTCCCACCCCAGAGGTTCTGATTCAGTTGACCTAGATGGGACCTAAGCTTTATGGACTTTAAGAGCTCCCAACTGATGCTCATATGCAGCCAGATGTGAGAGCATGGAAACAGAACATTGACCTTGTCTCTTCCACCACTCCCAACTTTTTAAGATTTATTCCGAGTTTCTAATAGTTACAAATATATACCTGCCTTGGAGAGTTAGGGGCATCATTTCCCCTTTTCTCCACCTCCCCTCCATCCCCCTCCTCCTCTCCAGGGCTTTATGTCCACTGGTCAGCCTCATGTCCACTGGTCCCTGCCTCTGCAGCCTGAGAAGTTCAAAATTTACAAGCTTGCACTGCTGGTCCACCCACTGAAATAATTTTGGAAAAAAGGAAACAATCAGAGGAGACAGAGGTACTGGACACACAGCTGTTGAATTTCTCAACTCT